ATGTGCCAAAATGACTAAATTGGGAAAAAGTTAAAGGGTTTATGATTAAATTGATCAAATTAAAAGGTTTAGAACTGTATTAGCATCCGTACAATTTGTTTAAGGCTTTTCATGGTAATTTTTCCCGTGGTTTTGGGACACGATGATACTATAAAATTCTGCATGGTATCGGAGTAGGAGTACATCATTTCTCTATATCTTCCATGGGAGCTTCGTAGTTGAAATTTTCTCGCATGGTCTCGCAACCAATTTTCGACCGTTCCCGTCACATTGAATTCGTTTTTACGTGTGGATTTAACTCGTTCGATTCGTCAACTTGGCGCGTCATTGCATGTGTCAGAGGTCAAAAAAGAAAAATTGTTAGGTGGACTTGATGCATGTAAAATGGGGAGCATCCAAACGTGGTGTAGGAGAGAGGGGTAACGCTTAAAGGTGCACTCAGCCCATGGTTTGATACGGTGTCGACCTAATCGAAATGCTACAAATGTGCTGATTGATATAAGTTTCCTGCAGCAGCGTCACCTATGAGAATGAGTAACGCGACTTCATAACGTGTTTGACCGCCACTTGATAATTATAAATAGGGGCGAGTTGTTCAAAGGCGGATCGATTATTGGCCTATAATCAGGAGCCAACCCTAACCCAATAGACCGGTTTCTGATTCGATTCGAGAACTGGTCCCTCTTCTTTTTTAAAGAAAAAACTTGAAAGATTATCGTAGAATATTAAAATCGCATATATCTTTCAAACAAGAAAAATTTGTCTTGAGAAGTGGTTATTGGAGTATTTCTTCGTAGTGCAGATCGTGCTTCCAATCTTGATAAATGGAAGACAGTTTTTCCTAGTGAAGTGGTCAAAATTGGTTCAATCCGAGAAATGGCTAAGTCGGGTTGGTTCCCGACAGCCTTCGAATCGAGAAACGAATTGGGTCTTGGCTTCCATAATTGCACACCAAACATATTCTCTCCTGAATTGGATCCGAACCGAACCGACCAGGTCGATTTTCGCCACTATCATGTTAAACTTTTGGTGTATCAGTTTGAGGTTTTTGAAAAGTTAAAAATTAATTTAAGGGTAAATTTGTTACAAATGTGCTAATTTAGGGTTTTTCGTAGTATTAGTCCTAGAAACTTATGATTTAAGAGGTTTAAGCAAAAACCAGTTCAAATCGATAAGTCGAGCCGAGTCAAACCGCGATTTTGGCCATCGTAACCATTCTAGAGTAACATTAATTTTGGTAATTAGACTAAGTAGAGTCTTACTATCTCAGCTGAGATTATACAGAGCTCGTGAATTAGGACACGAAGCGATCTTCTTCCAAGATTTCAACGAGAATTTCAACAATTTGGTAGGATGTTAATGTCAAAATCTGGTTGCCAGAAACTAAACTGCTAACTCAAATCGGGCCTCAAATCTACCCGCGATTGCCCACCCACCCACTCAAACTCCAAAGGAGGAAAGAAAGGAGGATCCCGAGCAAGTATTATTATCTAGACTCGTTTTATACGCCGTTTTGGTACACAACGATACCATAAAATTCTACGCGGTATCAGAATAGGAGTACATATGAATCTACGATGACTTTGTGGTCTTAGGCTAGTTGGCTAGGTATCGCAAAATTCCCATTACCTACGTCGAGTCCAACTGGAAAAATACATACATCTATTTCTTTACTATGACAAGTTTTGGCCATCACGTAATTCATGGAACGACTCTATGAAATAGCTTCGGATGAGGATTGTGGGAATCTACAGATATTGAACATTTCATGGACACTGAAATTTTTTTTAATCTTTATGCATGTTGATCTTATTTATCACATCAATAAACATTTCGGGAAAATTATCAAAAAAGTCCTAAACCTATTATAATTGTGCCAATTCAATCATAAATCTTTCTTTTCCAATTGAGTTATACATTTGTGTCAATTCAGTCCATCTGCCCAATTTTGGCCCGAAATCGCCAACATGGATGCCGGTCATCCTTCGTGGCAAGACCGGCGTTGACATGGACATTTTTAAATAATATTTTTTCAAATTATTTATTTATTTATTTCATTTTCTTTTTTTTTCTTGTATTTCTCTTTCCCTCTTTTTCCCCTTCTTCCTCTAGCTAGTTGCCAATGTCTGGCGATTGGCTAGAGGTGAGGGCCGCCACGGGCGAGGCTCACCCTTGCTACAGGCCGGCAAGGTCGACCTCACCGGCCCTCGCCTCTGGTTGGTCGCCAAGGTCCGGTGACTAGCCAGAGGAAGAAGGGAAGAAAAAAAACAAATATAAAAAAGTTTGAAAAAAATTATTAAAATACTATTTAAAATTGTATACGCCATCGCCGATCGCGTCACGTAAGAAGACCAGTGTTCATGTCAACAATTTCCTACCAAAACTGGTTGAATTGACTAAATTGTCACAAATGCAAAATGTCTAAAACTTAATCGGCAAAAAAATGTTTAAAACTGAATTGGTATAATTACAATAAGCTTATAATTTTTTTGGTAATTCTCCCTAAATATCTCACTTCTAATTTCTATGTTAAAGTAATATCACATCCTTTATCTATATTTTTCATGAAAGCTTCGCGGTTGAAAATTTCTTACATTGTCTCGTAACCAATTTCCTAGCATTCGCTTCCCATTTAATTCGTTTTATGTGTGGATTCTCATTTATCTCATTCTTTACTTGTCAACTTCGCGTGTCGTGTCATTGCATGTGGGAACAGGGGTCTACTCAAAAAATGAAAAAAAAAATTATTGGGTGGACTAATGTATAAATATTGTGGTGTACATCCAATTGAGGTGCAGGAGAGAGGGGTATGCTTAAAAAACCGAAAAGAAAAGGGTACATTTAGCACATGGTTTGATACGGTCTCGACCCAATCGAAATGCCATAATTGTAGGGAAACTTGCATTTCTTCAGTGACACTCATAAGCTGATTGATATAAGTTTTCTCCAACAGCCTCACCTATGAAAATGAAAATGAGTATTGCGACTTTATAAGTTGTATGCCAAGCACTTAATAACCGTTGAATGAATGTGAGTGGTTTTAAGATGAATCGATTCCGAGCCTATAACCGAGAACCAACCCTAACCAATAGACTGGTTTCAGACTAGGTCCGAGAACCGATCATTTTTCTTTTCTCAAGCAAAAACGTAAGAGGTTACCATAGAATATTTAAAATCGCATCTTTCAAACAAGAAAACTAGTCTTCATAAGTGGTCATCGGAGTATTTCTTCACGGTGCTGGCCAAGCTTCAAATCTTGACAAATGCAAGACTATTTTTCCAAGTAAAAAGGCAAAAATCGGTTCAATCCGAGAAATGGCCTTGTTGGATTGGTTTTCCAAGTAGAGCTGATGATTCCAGCCTTAGAACCGAAATACGAATTGGGTCTTGGCTTCCGAAACTACACTGTAAATAGATTATCTCCCGAACTAGATTCGAACCAAACCAATCAGGCCAAATTCTGGCCACTATCATGTTAAATCAGATTTTATGCTCACCTCTAACTATGCATAACCGATTCAGTTTCGAGCCTGTGTTGAATCAATTTTGACCATAAATTAGAAACACTTCGTATCGCAGCTGTATCATAGGCATCTATATTTAGCTCAGCCCAAACTATGCACAATAGGCTTTCATTACATGACTCAACTATTTTGTGACATGTGATTAGAGTGATCAACTAAACTAAAGTCCCCTCAGCAACTTCTGGGTCAAAGACTGTTCCAAAGCATCGGCATCTTTCTTCCTTTTACTGCATAGGGAGCTTCGGATAACAGTGGATCAACCAAACCCAGGAAATTCATAAAGAAAAAAATAGAGTGGTCCCTTGATTTTAGGACACGTGTGCTGCGGTCGCATGAAACCCGAGGCAGATGAACCGAAGGCCACCCGTGGTTTTAAACGGAACCTGTGGCTTGCCTGCAGAAGACTGCACTTTCTTCAGGGAGGACCGAAAAGAAAGTAGGGTAACTTTCGGAAAAGCAGAAAATATAATAACATATAACTCCTCAAGAACCCCAGTTTTTACGGATCACCGTGTCAGTGAAATAATCTCTTTTATGGATAACGTGAGCAGATCTCGATGCCCATGGTTTTCTTACCTCTTTTACTGTTCTTTTTGTGTTTCTCCTTTGTTTTCGAGTTGTACCTGATCAATGATCAGTCAGAAACTTGGCTTCTTCTCCTTTCGAGTACCTGTTGATTATGACTAATCCATCCCACCTATATCAGCAAACAAGTACAGTTTTATTTTCATTTTACCCTCCTTGTTTTGCGAAGATTTTCTAGTAACACTTTCATGCTTTTGTGACGGTAAGGTGGATATTCAATTTATTGATGGATGATACAGCTTGACTGAGCATTATGGTGGGTTGGTGAACCAATATTGACTCGATGCTTTGTATGATTTAACCCGAGTGAGTGCTTTTTTTAAACTCTTATTTTGGCCCATCATTAAGCTGAGTTGCGTTGGGGTGGCACATAGGTTTGTGCATGACTCGCGTGGGGGGCAAGAATTTCTCTCTGGGGATACACAATAACTTGTACTTGTTCCATAATTATAATCATAACTAAGAAAAAATTATGAGAAGGTACAATATTGGCAGCCTTGAATTAAGCAAAAATGCAAGAGCCATCTGTGTGCCACTAGGGGTGGATTTTCTTCTTCTACTTTTTTCTTTTTCTTGCAGCTTTGTACTTTGTTCATGTTAAGAAGAAGGCACAAAGGCACCACCCGGTGACTAGACTGTTGAGCCACTCCATTCTGCCGGTTTAGCTTTAAACAATGAGAACTTGGGCATTGTTGGATCTGAAATTATTTGTGCCAAAACCAGGGGCATTTTGGAAACTGAACCGACAACCCCAGTGAAAAACAAGCCACCGTGATTGTGTGAAAGTAAGAGTCAAGTGCAAAACCATCAAACTCTCCATCCCAACACCTGGGGCTATCTCTTCCTACTCCTTTCAAGTCTCATTTTCCACTATAAATAGCACCCTCCCATTATCACTTCCAGTTCGTGCAAGGCCTTCAATATCAGAAGCAAACTTCCCCAAAAGAAATCTTCTCCTTTTTTTTTCTAAATCCAGTGCTGTTTTTGCTTTTTTTGTTGATTCTTTGATAATGGCGAAAAATGTAGCTCAGTCACCCCTCGAGAGGACCAGCTATTCCATGGCCAAGCAATGTGCTCATGGTAATTATTGATTATGATGGATATATTAGTCCTCTTCTTCTTGGATGCTTTGAGAATGCATCCTTTTTAACTCTTATAACTGAATAATATGCAAATGACTGTGAGTGCAAGATCATGTCATGAAGGGTTTTGATAGTGGCTACCCAGAAGCTATTTGCTTTTTTTTTTTCTGGGTGTTAGTTGATTAAGTTGCTACCTGCTTGATGATATTTTATCTAATTTAAGTTCTTCGATGATTTGCATTGTAAAACAGAGGGAGTGATGGCAGGAGCCAAAGCAGCTGTTGTTGCAAGCATTGCAACAGCCATCCCAACTGTATGTAGTCTAAAGTTCAATACTTCTTCACAACCTTTTGTACTATTTTTTGCCCTAAAATTTATGGATTTTCAAAAGACAAGAGATTACTAATAAATCTAATCTTTCTGACCCACTTTGGGAATTGCTATATTTGATCTAAATTATATGTTAAACCTGCAGATGGCCAGTGTGAGGATGTTGCCCTGGGCAAGAGCCAATCTGAATCCCACAGCTCAAGCTCTCATAATCTCCACAGGTTAACACCCTTAAAAACACCCATATCCCATTCATGTACACTTAAATCATCAAATTTAGTCTGTGGAACTGTTAGACTAAACATGTGGCATCAATGCGATGTGCAGTGGCAGGAGCAGCATATTTCATAGTGGCTGACAAGACTGTTTTGGCCACAGCAAGGAGGAACTCCTTCAAGCGTGCCTCTAACGTTGACGCATGATTTCATAGCTAACAATTTATGTAAAACCCCTTTGTGGGATCATCTCAGCGTCTGTGAAGGAGAGAGAGAGAGAGAGAGTTAGCTCACTATGTAATCCCATCGATTGGTTTTATATAAATAAAGATGGTCCCTTCCTCTTCTAGTTCCCTCCCTCCCTCTCAAATTTTATAAATTGTTATTGAGTTTTTCATTTTGTTAGTACTTTTCACTTCTTTGCAAGTTCTATTCGTCACATTGGTCAACACGAAATTGATATCTGTGAATTTTTTGAGACAAATTATTCGAGCTGTTAATATATATCTCGTTCGCTTATCTAAGCTGATTGTCAATATGATACATTGTACTTGGATGTGGTGGATATAATAATACTTTGACCGGAATAAATTAAAATTAGATGATCCACAAATTCAAGGTCCAAGAAAAACTAGTGAGAAGCAATTCGTTCAGAACATCAGTGAGCGATACTTTGCTTTCAGAAAGAAGAATTCAATTGTCTCATAGAGTCATGAATATGATCATCTTCTATGGGCCATGTTGTATGGACATCGACCGGCCCAATAAGAAAAGAAATGGGCCCACACCTATGCATGATGTCCAGCCCACTACCGTGGGAGCCCAATATGGAGGCCCCATTCGATGTGCACACGTGGCAAAGGTAACTAGCAATGTCGTTTCCAATAAAAGTCCTAATTTTTTTTTTCATTTTGTCAGGTGACGGTTATGACGTCGTGTAAATATGACGGATCATATGCAATTATTATTGAGGTTGATGTCTTGTATTCTGTTATTCAAGAGATTATGAGGCGCTTCCAAAAGGCCCCCGACGACCTGGGACAATATGGGGTCCCGGCCTGAGTCCGGGCTGTCTTGGCTGGGTTGCTGGTCGAGGCAATGCCCCGAGCCGCCGTAGGCGTTTTATGTTCATTCATAGAAGGATTTATATGGAAAAGCTAAATATTTTAGGCTATGTGGGCAACTTTGTAATTTGTACCATGTAGGGTTTCGCTATATATATATATATATATATGGCGAAACGGGTCTCTAGAATAGAAGCAGGGGGTGAAAAAGAGTGGCTATACACTTTTCTACGTTATTAGTGAAACAGATCTCTTCTCCCCGTGGACGTAGATAGGCGGATCATCTCCTCTGCTGAACCACGTAAATTCTTGTGTTGTGCGAATTTCCATTACTTTGTTGCATCGCTGATAGGATCGAATTTAGATATTCGACAATTATGTGGGACTAATGTGAAACCAGTTGGATCCCACTTGGCGGAGGGTTGCGATGGATCTAGAAAAGTAGAAAAGGCATCGAATCCTAATGGAAAGGGGTTGGGCATGAATGGGAAGTCCTGATTTGAGTTCAAAAACTTGCGGAACGGGAAGCATTCTTAAAGTAAATCCATCAATGCATCAAATAGATGTGGAAGGTGCGCTTGCTCGGAAAGGAGGATATCTTGAGTCGTGCAGTTTTTGGCCCGCAGATCACACGCGCTTTTTTTTTGTGTCGATGGACACGGAGACCATATAAATTTGACATTCCTCGTGCACGCAACAATTACGAATAACTTAAAAAAAAAGTTAAAACCCAGATGTCAATACAAGAAGAAAAGTTTGAAGACGAGAATCCCTTAGGAAAATGAGCGTGAGAGAATTGGATGCCGCCCTAGCGCCACGTGCGTGCCTTGACCGTTCGCGCACCAGATTAAAAATCGAAAAGCCGATGCTCCTCCGAGTGTTCCTGCAGAAACAACTGCCCACCCCAATGCATATCTACTATCATTTTTAGACACTGTTGTCGTATCGCGAATCACAATCTGGAGGATAGACGGATAAATTAACCGGTCGATATCAATCGCGAGCGATATTGATAGGTATAGATATCGATGAATATACAAAAAAGATATCACATTAACAAAATTTATAATCTAAATCTAGAAAGTGCGACAGATTTGACCAATTTTTTTTCCTCCTATGGGCACGCAGAAGTTTCCAAGTTGATGTCAAAAATAGATTTTATTTCTTTGGAGAATAGACCAAAACTTGCATCCAAATAAAGGGTAGCGAGCCCGGGGGGGCCAACTCAGCGAGCCAATCGGGAGTCGCCACGTCATCGATCGCTAATCCCCCCCGGGATTAGGCGGGCTAAACACTGATTAGCGTTAACCCCGTAATTCTAGGGTTTTGGGGAGGCGTGGGAGGAAGGGAAGGGTTTTAGAGGAACCCGCCGGTTCGCTCTCTCTCTCTCCTTCGCGTTGTGGTTTGGCCTGCGCCTCGCGCCGACTTAGGGTTTTCGCGGATTCTTCTTCGTCGTCCTGCTAGGGTTTGCGGGCGCTCCGCGAGGCGGCTAGGGTTTTGACTCTCCCTCCCCCCCCCCGCCCCTGGCCTCCCACCATAAATTTTTTGCCCCTCCGATTCTTTTTTTTTTTGTGTTGTACAGCGTGCGACCCTCACATTGTGTGACGCCCACGTTCTCAAGGTTGCATCTTTCGTTGTTCTTCTTCTTGCTCTCCTCCTTGTGTCTTTGGAGCTCGAGTTCAATTTGGGTTCGTTGATTCTTTTGAGAATTCGCCGGGTTTCCGCCCGATTCCTGGCTATAAATTTCCGTGGGTTCTCTCTCTGATACGCTCTCTCACTGTTCGATCGTTCTGGGCAGGGCTCGGGTTTGGAATTCATCCTGAATTCTGGGCGATTCCCTTCGTTAAAGATCAATCCGGGGCGTGTGCTTATCGCTGGGTATTTTGTTGTTTCTGTTCTCGGGCTTCTTTTGGGTGTCGGAAAGCATCATTCTTTTTTTGGGTTTCCGGCATTCGTTTTGATTTGGCGAATTGCCAGATTTTCGGTATAGGGAGGCTTTTTGGTTTCGACAGTTTGCGAGGTTCCGTCCGCCATGAATTTTTCAGAACCCGGGCTTCCGCTCATGCCGGCTGCGATGCTCCATTATGTCAACGGCGGCGACGCGGCCGGGTATTGGTCCCAATTCGAATTGAAAAGCGAGGAATTCGATGTGAATTCGGAGTTCGATCAACTGCCCCCTCCCTTAAAGAGACCCAGGAACTTTGAGGACAACCGGTCGAGCTCTACGGCATCGAATCCGAGGCCTAACCCTCCCGTCAATAAGGGAGCGACCAACATTTTCTGGAAGACCCGGATGTGCGCCAAGTTCAAAATTGGCATGTGTCGGAACGGGGAGAACTGCAATTTCGCTCATGGCGTCGAAGATATGCGGCAACCTCCACCCAATTGGCAGGAGCTTGTCGGCATGCGCGAGGAGGATAATAAATCATCTGGGAATTGGGAGGATGACCAGAAAATTATACATAGGATGAAGCTATGCAAGAAGTTCTATAATGGGGAGGAGTGTCCTTATGGGGATAGATGCAACTTTCTTCACGAGGACCCGGCTAAGTTTAGAGATGATTCCGGGAGGTTTCGGGAGACCTCGGCGATATGCATTGGAACCACTGGAATGCCAACGGGGCAAGGAACTGGTCCTAGTCAGTCGGATGTTAGTCGGCCCAATGTTGGAGCGGATGGCAGAGTAACTTCGAAACCTGTTTACTGGAAAACGAAGTTGTGTACTAAGTGGGAGATAACAGGTCAATGTCCTTTTGGTGAGAAATGTCACTTTGCGCATGGACTAGCAGGTATATGATCTTGATTAGCGTCGTCTACATCTTTAACCTTTAGAAGTTCCATCTGTTTTGTTGAGCTTTACTGATGCAGGGTGTACAATGCACATGATAGGTGAATTGCTTTATCTTAGATGTTGACAGCATCAACAGACAATACTTTCATAAGTTATTAATACGGGCAATGAGATTAGTTTTGCGATACTTGTCTTAGATAACTTCGGTGATTACCTGTCTTCTGGGGACCCATATTGTAAATGGGCAATGATTCAGACAGGACTGATTCTATCGGACATTGTCTTTTGTTTCATGTCGCTGTTGGCTTCCATTTTTCTTCAGAAGCAAAATGAAGAAAAATCCAAGTGGTGGACCATAATGTGGGGCAGACATCATACGGTCATGGGAAGTGATCATGTTTGCATTTCTTCAATACTGTGGTGCCTAAACTAGAGAGTCAAGTATGTTCCATAGTGTAGCACTCCCACGATGCAAATTTTGTCCATTAGAGCCTCAGATATTGAGGTTTTCTCTCTACTTGAATTAATGCTTTGGTGGAACCTTATATCTATGATAGCAAAAATGATTAACCTTTTTTCAATCAAGTGAAGACATCACCTTGCAAAAGCAAGCATTTCAGTGCAACCATATTGTTCAAATATGAAACATTGAACTCTGGTTGTTAGCGATTTGTTATCTGATGTGAGCTTTTCTGAATTATCAGAGTTGCAGTCGCCTAGCGGACGATTTGAAGGAGATGCGGTGCAAACGGCCTCGGTCGTCGCTACAAAACCTCAACCTCAACTTCTTCATATCAATGACGGGCCTTCTCTCATGACAGCGAAGGGTCCTACTTCAACGGAAGAAGCACAGAGCAAGAAGTGCTTATTGAGATGGAAAGGACACAAGAAGATCAATCAGATTTACGGTGACTGGCTCGATGATTTGCCCCTGGAGCAAAACTTGCCAAACAAAGTAGAGAGCTGATACTCCTTCGCCTGGATCTCAGCGCCGTAAAAATTCTTTCTTTGCAAACACTTGTGCCTAAACTAGACTAAGTCTTCTAGTGTGTGGAAAATGAAGGATGCGGTCTGTACATCACATATTTTTGTTTCAGGAGTTTAATCTGGTGAATGGTCCGTAGCTTTTCTGTTTCGAACTGTCTTCGGTTCCGTTGGCGATCATTTTAGGATGTGATATAGTTCTTGCAGTATAGGTGATTTGTTCTTTCATTGGCCTTTGTCAATAGGTCATTGATTGCTTGTCAGCTTATCGATTGGAATTGTAATGGGAAAATCTCAAATTTGATAGTGATCTTTTCTTGCACAAGAGGGCCAAACAGGATATAAATGCTCTTGCTCTGTTTTTGTACTGTGGATCAAAATTGTGGATGTTGCCATGTTGCGGTGTAGCTTGTTAGAACCATGAAAATGCGTGGTCCAATGATTCATCTAATGCCTCCATTGGACCATTCTCTTTTGGCGGAGCCTCCATCAAACTATTCAAACATCATTGTCTCTGGGCTTGGCATTGTTGACACGAAAAGTAAATGCGTCAATGTCATGTTAACAGTAGATTAACTATGTACCATTCGTTTCAGTGAACTTAACTTATACTTTTCTTTTTATTTGGTTATAATGAATAAATAATTATCCCGGTGATGAAAATGATGATTTTGACATGAAGTAGGATTTGACCGAAAACAAAAAAAAATCATGAAGCAGGACACTAAGGACAGGTGTCACTCTCCAGGAGTCTGATTCACCACCCAACCTGACCTCTTCTCTCTGTCTTTCTCCAGAGGCTATCAACCCATTTTGGGATTGGAAAATTTTTTTACAAAGCCCCAAAAAAAAATTTTGTGAAAAAGATGCAGTCATGCTCTCTCTCCTCCCCTGTTTCTCAGCCTCCCCTGTTCTATCTATCTCCAAAAACTACCTCCTCCTCCTCCTAAAGCCTCTCTCGCTAGCAAGAACCACCCTCTGCCATCTCTCCACCACCACCACCGCCGCCGCCACCACCGCCACCATGTCCATCAACCTACAATCCCATGCCTTCGCCGGCAACCCCATACGGTCCAAAACTCCAAAACCGGGTGACCCATTTTCTCCTAACTCTGCTCTCGAGACCCTTAAGACCCAGCTGTTAGAGACCACCCACCAACCCAGTTCTCCCAATTTCAAGGTCTTGCCTTTCCGAAAGGGACGGCCTTTGGCCTCCTCTTCTTCCACTGGCGATGCGTTGGGCCCAAATTGGCATCTGGGTTGGATCGGCTTGGCTGATTGCAAGCTTTTCTTTGCGAATTGTGGGATCGATTTGAGCTATGACTCGTTGGTTTATCTGGGTTCGGAGTCTGCGGCAGACGTGGTGTATTGGGCGGTTGATGTTGCCGCAGAGGCCAAGTTGCTGCCTGAGGTTGGCGGCGAGAAGTTCTGCTTTGTGGAGCTGAGGACGCTGATGGTGGCCACTGATTGGGACGATCAACACGCGATGGCTGAATTGGCCATTGCTGGTCATGTAAGTGATGTGACTGTGATTTCTTGAAGCTGGTGATGCATTACTGTTGGGTTTCTTTAGTTATTGGAAATTGATTTCGGGGACTTACGGACATGAATTGGAATTGCTTTGGACATGATTTGGCAATAGCGGGCGTTTGGAAATTGGCCACCTCGCCATGTTAGCACTTCGCTGGAAAATTGCGTCGATTTCAAAAAAATTGAAACTTTTGTGCATTCGGGTGATTGAAATCAAAATTCTACGTGATTATAAAATCACTGAAATATAGTGACTATTTTAATATATAGAGAACATTTTTAAACTTTCTACCAGAAATGGCCAATCATCAATTTCTCTGAGATTAATCTATTTGCTGAAGTCATTTTACTATTTTATTTCCTGCACTCTGTTTCCATATAAGCTGAATTTGGCATTTAATTAGGCTCGAGCATTGCTGGAATGGCATGGTACATCTCGCTATTGCGGACACTGTGGGGGAAAAACAGTCCCCATGGAAGCAGGAAGGAGAAAGCAATGTGTGAACGAGCTGTGCAAAAAGAGGATATACCCTCGGGTTGATCCGGTATACTCTGGACTGCAATTTGAACTGTCTATTATCTGTCAAGGACCATGCTTTGCGTCTAGATCCCTGATCGATTTGCTCGTGCAAATGTTGTATTACTGCAGGTTGTGATCATGTTAGTTATTGATAAGGAAAATGACCGTGTGCTTTTAAGCCAGCATTCAAGATTTGTACCCCGAATGTGGAGTTGCTTGGCTGGATTCATTGAGGTACACTTGGCCCATTTTGATATTCCCATGTACAAGGTCCTAATTTTGAATGTGTGATCACTTTGGTCGTATGTAGTATTTCGAGTCTTTCTCCCTTGTAGAAGATCTCCTCTATATGACTCATCTTCTCCTTGAATTGAGATCATCGGTGCAATTATTTTCTGGTTCGATGGATAGATTTCTGGTAGATGGACGAATCTTCGAGATCTCAATCATTAGATCTGTGACTTTGTTGGTTGTTTGAGATCCTTGCCTTTCTATGACTGGTAGATTAAATTCTCGAGTCTGCTAATTTTCAGCCAGGAGAAAGCTTGGAGGAAGCAGTGAGAAGGGAAACATGGGAAGAGACTGGAATTGAAGTGGGAGAGGTTGTCTACCACAGTTCTCAGCCATGGCCAGGTATAACATGGATAATCCATGTCAAATGATTGGTTTTATGCTTAGTTAATCACTTGAGTTGGTGTGATCTGACTCAGATTTCGGTAAGATTCAATATGTTATCGTACTGTGGAGTCAACAATCCGCCCCCCACAACCACAAAAATAAATAAAACAACCAACATTGGGGCTTGGGACAGAGTATATTAAGTAATCTTGAGTTGATGATATTGAAACCTTGATCACCATTTTGTGACTTATAGATGATGAGGAGACTACTTGTTTGGCATGAGTGAATAACAGGCATACAAATAAAGAAAGACGCTCCATTGGAGAATAGATAGCTATGATCTTCTGGCCTTCCCAAGACTTTTTATGATGTAAAGGTGTTGCATCTAGTAGGCATGCTTTGGTAATTGGTATAAAAAGAGTATAATGGTATTTCCTCTTGCACCTCTTAATGGATTTCCAAATTCCTTATTTAGACTCTAAAAGAATCAAAGATGGGTTTTTATAGATAAATTCATTTTTTCATTAAGTATTAAACATTTAGTAATACGTTTGATTGTCATAGTTTTCAAAACTTTATCTCGAATGTTTGGAGCATATGGCCGACATTGTATCCAATAGAGCATGATTGTGTGATAAAGTCCATGTAGCTGTCCTCACCTAGTCGGATCTAGATTTGTTGCTTCCGTTGTTATTGAATGTCACTATCTTCCCCTTGCATTTTATATTTGTGATATCCTGAAAATTCGACCCATTTTTGTGATATATGAAATGATGAGATTTTATCAATGCACTATTAGTTAATCCTTGCCTTGATTGATCACTCATGGGATACTAACCAAAGGGGTTAACGGGCCGAGAATTGGAGCCCACGAATGAGTGGGCCGGACGAAGGCCCAATGGGCCTCATTGAGGTTTGGCCACCTTGGGCCCAACCAAGCCCAAGTGGGCCCAATCAAGCCCATGAGCCATTCTAGCCTATTCTCTATCCTTTTAAGCCCAAACTTGATTTATACGAGTCCGTACAAAATTCTAGCCCATATATGCGTATAGTATTTTATACTATACTTTGTGAAAAGAACATTTTGCCCTTGCATTAGATAAGAAGTGACAAAAGAGGAGTGAAAGTCTTGGATATTAATGAGGGGAAATGATGAATTTTTGGAGACTTGAACTTGGCTTGAAGAAGAAGCTTTTCCAGAGAGAAATATCTCTCATTTTCTCTCACTTGCTCTCTCCTCACTCCCTCTTGCGTCTGCCCCCTCCTCTCTCTTTTCTCTCTCTCATTTTCTCTCTTGTTCTTCATCTTTACCTCTTGATTTTTCCCCATTGCCGCCCCCTTGCCGCCGTGCATCACCGCTGCCTCCCACCGCCGCTGCTTTGAGCCATCCTCACCACCATCCGTATGCCGTCCTCCGCTTGTGCCACCTGTCCAAGCCACCACCGCCAACCATCTCTCTCTCTCTCTCTCTCTTCCTCGCGGGCGACCTCACCAAACCACCGGCGCTCTCCTCTCTCCTCGCCGTGAGCTGCCGCCACCCCTCGTTGTTTCCAAGCGGAGCCACTCGTCACTCGCGCCGCCGCCGTCGTTCTCGTGCAACTAGCATCGTTAACGAGTGAGTTAATTTCCTAATCCCTTGATTAGGGCGTTAAACTTGAATAGTGGTAGTTTAGTTATTGTTAATCTTGATTAGTGATAATTAATTATAGTTTACCCGATAAGCTATCGCGATAAGGGATAGGCAGAATTGATAGGCTATCGCGATAGGTTATCGAGAAAAAGTTGATAAGCTATCACCAAAGGGGTGATAAGCTATCGGAAAAAGGAGTGATAAGTGATAAGCTATCGATAAATGGATGATAAGCTATCGCCAAATAGGCGATAAGTTATTGAAAAATGATTGATAGGTTATCGTTGTGGTGATAAGTGCTGTTTTATATATGATTTATACTCGAGTTGTATGAAAATTCTATGTACGTTTCATGTTATTTAAAGCCTGCTTTGCCATGAAAAATATTTGCCCAATGTGAAACCTTGTTTGCTAATTTAAAAGAAAAAAAAAAGGATTTTTGTGGACATATAAATGGTAAACCCCGAGGTTTCGGGTTCATATGTCCTGTTTTATGTATTAAATGGGGCAAGGATATTTAAAAGGGAAAGCATGCAAAGTTTAACGGGTTAATTGTATGTACTTGACCACATGTGATTATTTTACTGCATTTTTATGTACAAAAGTTGCAGTAGTTTATTATTGGGAGCACGAACCATGTCTACATTAGCTAATTGTTGAGAAATAAAATGGGCTTGAGTGGTAGTTGTGCTCGTGTGGTCACATAAAGGAACCCGTCACCCAACAAGAGTTTAGGGACGATGCCCGATTTTTCTTTTTATTGGATGCCCAGCGGGGGTCCGGATGTCGAGTCGCGATTGAGGCCGGACCGATGTTCCTTTATGGAATGCCATCTGTGGCGGGGGTCCCAGACGTTGCCGTGCCCGATAGGGCTGGACGATGCCCGGTCATGCCGGAAGATCGCCAACCCTTGGGTTGTGCCGTGGCCCTAAGTAGTCGTAATAATTAGAACACGCATGAGTGCATTGTGCATGGGAAAGCTTGCTAAGTGTTCTGATTATGTTATATGCTTATTACATTATTTGTGGCACGTGATGGCTTATGTCATGCAGGGTGTGTGCTAAGGCAAGGTAAAGATGTCTGTGGTTATTCGATGGCTTGTTTGTTTATGTTGGATTGAATTTCCTACTCCTGTATATAGTTAATGCAAAGTGAGGGTCGCTTTGCTATTGATCTGCCATCAATATATCGCTGCATAGTTTAGGTGCACCCCAGGCGAGTTGACTTCCTAAACGAGGCTTAGGTCGTTAACTTACTGAGATTTATATCTCATTCGTTGTTGTTAACTATTTTTCAGGGCCTTAGAATGGCGAACCACCCGAGGCGGTTTGGGGTGCCGCAGGATATGGATAGTATTATTACTACCCATCGTTTTCCCGGCAAGCCGCATCTTTTTGAGCGCCACCTGTCTACTGTGTGGGTGGATGAGGGTCTAGCTATGTGGGTCTCTCATCAGCTCCAGGCATGGTTCATCCGTGAGGGCGAGGACCTGTACGGCCCTTTGAGGGGCTTTAATGGTCCTCTAGATGGGGGCTATGGGCAAGAGGTCCGGGACCCTATGGATATTGACCCACCTAACGGGTTAGTGGAGTGTCCCGAGACCAACCCTGATCCTGTGTACTCGTCGGATTACGACCCGTCAGAGCATGATCCCGACTCGCCCTATTTTGACCTGCCGTCCCGCTATTTTGATAGTACTTGAGGGACATGCCTGGGACCTGTTCTTTTTGGATGACCTACTTTTGGATGGAGTAGATTAACCCCCAGCCCAATATCTTTTTGGTAGGCTTGTGACGAAAGGTGCCCTTGAAGGGCTTGTCAATGTGTTTCCTTGGGGTTAATCAAGTAAATAAATAAAATGGCACTTTGGCATGACTGTTGTTGATTGTTATTACTATCCCTGTTGTTTGTTGTTATGACTGGGTGATTGTTGTCACTTCCGCTTGCGTAATTGAAAGATAAAATGAAAAGTCGGCGACGAGTCCTGAGACATCGCATTCAATTGACCTAAGTGAAATAGGGGTTGTCGCGTGCTCGAGGGTCGGGGCGTGACAATATTGATGTCTAGTTAAAATCGCCTCTTTTGCAGACAAAAAAGCTTTAATCAATGTTATACTATATCTACCGTGATAAAATTGTAATTACAGTCTCTGCAAGAGAAGTACGTGTGCGGTGCAAGTGCATGTTAAAGCCTTGATTGAAGAATGATTCTAATGAAACATTTCAGATTCACTTGACAAATAAAAGGACTCTTCAGCTTATTAGAGAGTTTTGGGATATCCTTGGTCGACCTAACTCTAACAAACACTCTGGCAATGGATAATTGAAGGGAGGCATTGTCACCTAAAATGTACTCTCTCAACATCCTAAATGAAGCCACCAAATAAACATGTGTACCCTCTGATATTTAAAAGTTGGTGCTATATATTGTACGATGCTTTAAAGAAACATTGAGTATCAACAAAGTTCAATGAAAAGGGGGTAATAGAGTAACAGAGAGATGGGAAACATGCAAACAGTGCGGCAATATATCCAAAAGCCCTGGGATTGTGGAGTTTCTTAAATATCTGCATAGATGGTGATGCAAAGTTTTATGCATCTATCGGTTGGGTGGAAAATCATATTAACCGTTAGGATATGCATGCTTTGCCTCGTCTTCAAAAATCAATGTGCTTAATTGTGGTGTAATTCTTTTAGTCGCATCTTCATTGAAGTGTTTATTACTGCCTTTCTCTTTATTTATTCTTCTGTTTTATCATTTCCTAGTTGGACCAAGTAGCATGCCATGTCAGTTGATGGTGGGATTCTTTGCGTTTGCAAAATCGCGGGAAATAAACGTCAACAAAGAAGAGTTGGAAGGTATGTTTGACATTCAGGATATGGTTGGAATTTTGATTTTTCTTTGGCCTTATGATCTGCCAGAAGTATATATTGCATCATGGGTATCTTGAATGCGCACACATACATGATGTGCTAGGTTAATCTTTCAGCTGCAGAGAAATGTAAAGTGGACAATTTTGTTTCTCTTTATGATTCCGAGCTTTCACAGATAATAACTGCTTTCAAAATTTTGTTTTGTACATACCATGCTAATGGATTACCTCTAGCTATGAAATGTCACATTTTATTGGCATAAATGGGAAGCTTTGGGCTCTGTTACGGAAAGGAGAGAAAATGAGGGGAATGAAAATTTGAGTGGGATAGTTTAGATTTGTGAAATTTTTGGGAGAGGAGAGAGGAGGGAGACTTTGAAATTCGTGATGTTTTTCTCTCGACATTTTCTTCACCTTGGTGTCCCAAGCATAGCATTAGATTTTTCTGTTCCATCAGATGCCCAGTGGCACAGTAGAGAAGACGTGAAGAAAGCATTGATGGTTGCCGAATACAAGAAGGCACAACAAACGGCAGCGGCAAAGGTAATCCAGATGTGCAAGGGAGTCGAGAAAGGGCAAAGTCTGTCTGCAGATTTCAATGTCGAAAGCGGGGAACTCGCTCCTATGTTCTTCCCGGGGCCATTCGCTATTGCCCATCATCTCATCTCTTCATGGGCATTTCAGGACTCGGTGAACGGGTTTCAATCTCAGCCTATACATGCTGGTTCTTCCATGTCCAGCTTGTAACAACCAGTGGCCTTAGTATGTCCTTCATCCACCAGAAAGAAAATGAAAAGAGAAGACAAAATGAGATGGATAGTCGAAAAGGAATATATGTCTGAGGACACGACTGTTAATTCAGAGAGTCTCTTTCTCTCTGATTCAATTTGCGGATTGTTGAAGCAAGGTTCGTGTATTGTTGTGCAGAAAAGTATATACAGTTCAAAGGTTACAAAATTCATATTGAATGGTGATGCTGGTCGTACCAAGCATTGCTGATCGAGACACTATTGTTTCGCTTTTGCTTTTGTCAATAAGGTAGCCGAAATCGTGCTAGGAGTAGCTTCTCGAGTAATACGTGCATATTCATCTGTACCAGGTTTCGGGTTAGTTCAAGAATATGCAGATTAATTTTTCCGTTGTATCAAGTTCGTGAAAAGATATTCATTTCTATTGCTATCTATCTCACATAAAATTCGTTTTCGACTATGTTGCCGGCCAAGTTATCCCCTTCAATTTTTCGACATGCTTGTGGAGTGAATTGTGAAACTGCAAAGCTTGTATTTTTCCCCATTATTGAGTCAGATTGGTTTTGGTTGGACTGTGCAACTCGAGGCAAAAACCAGTTATCAATTTTATGGAATGCTTGGCCCTTCGTTTCCAATCGCAGTCACTCTCTGTCGTAACGGACTGTATATGATTTGAGTTGGAACTGGATAATGTTGTGACAGTACCATTTAAGGGGAGGGTGTCTGTAGCTGCGCGAAAAGGATATCTCGGGTTTGCTTATGGAAGCGACATTGTTGGGTGCACCGGATGCAGCTGTGACTCGGAATTTTTGTTGATGGATATGTGTGTATCTGTTACTAACAATTCACAAATGTCCTGTGAAGACACTTTTTTTCATGTTGTTTGCCCTAGACTCTGTTGAATTGTGTCCAAGTTTTCTTATACGTTTTAGGGTGGACTAATGAGGATCAAAGTGACACAAGCAGAGATCGAAAATTGAAGGCTATGAGGGACCAACTAGAAGCATTCTCACGATTGAAGGCAACTATGATGGGTTGGCGCTGATCCCGAAAAATACCGATGATCACCTAGGCTCGACCAAGGGAGACTAATCAATGATGATCTGAGACTGATTGGCAGGCTATCGGCATCGATCATCAATGGTCAAGTACCGGTAGGCGGTGGTTGAAACCTAGATTCGCCCAGAAGTTATGGAAGACTAACGAATACTGCTGATCTACAACCCTATCAGAAGGGACTCTAGTCCAGCTGATGCTGTCTAGGATAGGCAAAGCTTTATGTAATGGCTACATTGTTTTGTCCCCTTATTTGTATTTGTTCAAAGCTTTAAAAAAGGGCCAAAATAGAAGATCTCGATCTCGAATACTCACTGAATCAGGATACGAATGGCATGATCATCCTGTTCTTATCAACAATTTATTGGCAGCTATTCATGAAAAATTCGGGATCAACTAGTTCTCTCGCCCAGCGCATAACTCGATAACATAAAATTTGTGTGAGATTGGATCCAATTAAATATGTTTAGGAGCTCAAATTTATTCGGTGACAAGTTCATCTCCTTCGCGGCTTTAGAAACTTTTCACGAGTTCATCTTGATTGGCTTTCTTATCATTCTGATCCCACTTTTGTTATACTCCGTCTCTGGAGGAATATTGTTTGCCTTCAAACTATTTAACGCTCCATATTGGCACACTACGGAGCAATGCAATGTACAATCTATGCTCGTTTAAGAAATTCTCTATTTAGATTGGCTTATCAATATAGGAGATATTGTTTCTATTAGAGTTAGACACTCTTCAAGCAAACACTATCAAAATTTAGCAATTGAAAAACCACCACAATCTTTCTCACGTGCTTGAAAGTGATTTTTCATAGATGTTCGATCTAACAAGAGAAAGGACTACTTCAGAATGACTTTCTAATACGACTTTCTCGAGGAAATTGGATTACAGTGATGTTTGGAGTGGGTGGGTTAGGGTTTATGTTAGATCAGTTAACTATTCTGTACTTGTAAAGGGAAAGATGGCTGGAAAAATTGAGCCAACAAGAGGACTAAGGCAAGGAGATTTACTATTAGTGGCTGATGTATCATCTGGATGCTTAATAAAAAAGTAGCCGATTGGTCTGCTCAAAGGAGTAAAATCAATAGCTGAGAGTATAAATAAAGGGAGAATATCGTCGGCATCTCGTTGTATTTATAATTGGTCGTTTGATTTGTTACCTGGTGTGAGCTTTCTTAATTATCATAGTTGCCATCGCCTGGCCGACGATTTGAAGGAGGTGCGGTGCAAACGGCCTCGGTTGTCGCTACAAAACCTCAACCTCAACCTCTTCATATCAACGACGTGCCTCCTCTCGCAACAGCGAAGGGTCTTACTTCAACGGAAGAAGCACAGAGCAAGAAGTGCTTACTGAGATGGAAGGGACGCAAGAAGATCAACCAGATTTACGGTGGCTGGCTTGATGATTTGCCTTTGGTGCAAAACTTGCCGAACAAAGTTGACACGGCTTTACCTAAGTATCGGTGCCGACAAAATTCTTTCTTTGCAAACACTCGTGTCCGGACTAAACAAGTCTTCTAACGTGTGGAAAACGATGGATGCAATCTGTACATCACATATTCTGTTTCAGGAATTTAATCCGACAAATGATGTGTAGTTTTTCTATTTCAAACTTTTTTTCGTCCTCGTCGGTGATCATTTTAGGATGTTATATAATTCTTACAGTATAGCCTATAGGTGATTTATTTTCTCATTGGCCTTTGTCAACAGGTCATTAATTGATTGTCAGTTTATTGATTGGACTCTTAACGGGGAAAGCTTAGCTTTGACGGTGATGTTTTCTTGTACAGGATGGTCAAACAGGTTCTCCTCTGGCTCTGTTTTTGTACTGCCACATCAAACTTGTGGATGTTGCCATGTTGGGGTGGAAGCTTGTTCGAACCAATGAAAAACGGTGACTTTTAACCTTCTCTCTCTGTCTTTCTCCAGAGGCTATCAATCGATTATGGGAACCGAAACAATTTCGAAATGCCCAATGCAGTCATGCGCTCTCTCCTCCTCTGTTTCTCAGCCTCCCCTGTTCTTTCCATCTCCAAAAACCACCACCTCCTCCTCCTAAAGCCTCTCGCACTAGCAAGAACCACCCTCTGCCATCCCTCCACCACCACCACCACCACCACCACCACCACCGTGTCCATAAACCTACAGTCCCATGCCTTTGCAGGCAGCCCCATTCGATCCAAGACTCCAAAACCCAGTGACCCATTTTCGCCTAACTCTGCTCTTGAAACCCTCAAGACCCAGCTTTTAGAGACTAGCCACCTACCCAGTTCTCCCAATTTCAAGGTCTTGCCTTTCCGAAATTGAGGGCCTTTGGCCTACACTTCTTCCACCGGCGATGCCTTGGGCCCAAATTGGCATCTGGGTTGGATCTGCTTGGCTGATTGCAAGCTTTTCTTGGCGAATTGTGGGATCGATTTGAGCTATGACTCGTTGGTTCGTTGGTTTATCTGGGTTCGCAGTCCGCGGATGACGCGGTGTGTTGGGCGGTTGATGTTTCCAGGAGGCCAATTTGGTGCCTGAGGTTGGTGGCGAGAAGTTCTGCTTTGTGGAGCTGAGGACGCTGATGGTGGCCACTGATTGGGACGATCAACACGCGATGGGTGAATTGGCCATTGCTGGTCATGTAAGTGACTGTGAATGTGATCTCTTGAAGTTAGTGATGCATTGCCGTTGGGTTGATTTAGTGACTACTAATGATACTCACCTGTATCATGGAAATTTCGTGGATTGGGCACTGCTAGAATTAAAGTAGTGGCTGCTTTTGGTTTCTGACTAACTGCAGTCTCTTGAGAACATTTTTAAACTTTCTACCAGAAATGGTTAATCATCAATCTCTCCAAGTTTAATTCATTTGCTGAAGTCATTTCGCTATTTTTTCTCCTTCATTCTGTTTGCATATAAGCTGAATTTGGTATTTAAGTAGGCTCGAGCATTGCTGGAATGGCACGGTACGTCTCGTCATTGTGGACACTGCGGAGGAAAAACAGTCCCCATGGAAGCAGGGAGGAGGAAGCAATGTGTGAACGAGCTGTGCAAAAAGAGTATCTACCCTCGGATTGCTACGGTTATACTGTTGACTGAAATTTAAACTGCCTATTATCTGTCAAGGACCTTGCTTTGTCTCTAAATCCCTGATCTATTTGCTCGTGCAAATGTTGTATTGCTGCAGGTTGTGATCATGTTAGTTATTGATAAGGAAAATGACCGTGTGCTTTTAGGCCGGCAATCAGGATTTGTACCCCGAATGTGGAGTTGCTTGGCTGGATTCATTGAGGTACACTCGGCCCATGTTGATATTCCCATGTACATGGTTCCTAATTTTGGAATCCGTGGTCACTTTAGTGATTTGCTGTAGTTCGAGTCTGTCTACCTCCTATAAAATCTCCTCTACACGACTCATCTTCTCTTTGAATTGTGGATGCAATTATCTCCTGGTTTGATGGATACGTGTCTGGTACATGGACGACTATTCGAAATCTCAATCATTAGATCTGTGACTTTGTTAGTTGTTTTAGATCCTTGCCTTTTTACGACTGGTCGATTAAATTCTCTAGTCTGCTGATCTTCAGCCAGGAGAAAGCTTGGGGGAAGCGGTGAGAAGGGAAACATAGGAAGAGACTGGTATTGAAGTTGGAGAGGTTGTCCACCACAGTTCTCAGCCATGGCCAGGTATAACATTGATGATCCACGTCACAAAATAAATAAATAGATAAATAAACCACCACCATTGGGGCTCGGGACGGCTTCAAAGGAAGTCATATCAAGTAGTCTTTAGTTGATGAAATTGAAAACTTGATCACTATTGTGGATGATTGAGGAGACTACTTTTTTATATTTCTGCACTGAACGAATATCAGGCATCCAAATAAAGAAAGACGCTTCATTGGAGAATAGATCACTAAGATCTGTTGGCCTTCCCAAGACTGCTTACGATGTTACGGTGTTGCATCTGGTAGGCATGCTTTTGGTAATTGTTATTTAAAGAGTATAATGATATTTGCTCTTGCACCTCTCAATGCATCCCCAAATTCCTAATTTAGACTCTAAAAGAATCGAAGATAGGTCTCTTCGGATAGAATCATCCTTTTCATTAAAAATGAGGCATTTAGAAGCACATTGGATTGTCATAGTTTTGAAAACTTTATCTCGAATGTTTGGAGCATATGTCGACGTGGTATCCAATAGAGCGTGACATTGTGAGGAAGTCCATGTAGCTGTCCTGACCTAGTGGGATCTAGATTTGTTGCTTTCATTACCGTTGAATGTCACAATCCCCCCTTGCATTTTATTTCATGTCCAGTTGAAATCGCCTCTTTTGCAGACAGAAAGGATTAATCAGTGTTATACGGTGTCCACCATGATAGGATTGTGATTACAGTCTGTGCAAGAGATATA